CGCCTTCCCATATAGGAGATTGATACATACCGCCCCTGAAGTGATGATGGTTCAGGCGTGCTGCTGCTTCCGCCGCTCCAGCTGCCAGGGCTGCACCACCTCCACCAAAGCCCAAAATTGACGGTTTGGGTACGTTCGCATATGCCAGTTGTGGATAAAATGGAGAATTTATCTATTTAGGGCTTGACCCAGCTGTACTAGCAGCAGCTCTTGCAGATGACGTTGACATTGATGTCAGTGAGTTGGAAAATGACCCGGACTTGTTGGTCAGTTGTTTTGATTACTTGGCCCTTTTTTCCTTTCTAACCATTATTTTTTGGAATTTTTTTCATTCGGACAGTTTTCTCAGTTCTCTGTTAAACTTGCATGTTATCGCATTGACGAGCTTTTTTTTCGAGGGTATGGTCTTCTGGACAAACAAAAGTTGAACTTTTTTCTTTTCGTAAAATAGTGCCTCAACAAACTCTTATATTGTTTTCTATCCCTTCTAATTCACCTAGGTCTGCTGATACCAAACTATGTTACTTCCCAAAAAATCTCGAAAACAGATTGCAAGGGCTTTTATTTTACTTTCTGCACATCTGTCTTAAGTGAGTCGAATATGTCGATTAGGCCGTCTATCTCAGAGCAGGCTCATTGGCCCGGTTTTCCTTTCCATCTAACGGGCAATTTTCTACTCCAACATCGGTCGCTTTAGTGTGGGGTCATGTATCACAATTCGTGTTTGGAACATCCAATATAATCGTAGATAACACCTTCGCAACTGCGAAGCACGAATCTGGATTTACTCATCACAGGGAATAGTCCTAAGAGAATAGTCGAAAGTATGGAAAGACCTGCCAATACGCATGCTATTCCCATGTATCCATGTTGACGAAATAGTTGTTGTTTACAAATCGCTTCAGCTGTAGCGAATGACTGACGCAATTTATCTGCAGGCAGAATTATCTGGTCTCGTTGGGAGCAGTCCAACTGAGGCGGTAGCTCCAGTTGCGCCACCACCTCCTGCTCCCTCTGTTGCTAAATCGGACAATTCTATGTTGACGAGACTGAATGGATTACTTGCTGTTTACCAGAAAATGCTAGACGCGAGCGCCAAAGAAGGGAACTCTGCCAAGCAGAGAAGGTATACGTTTTTTACAGTTTTCATCACATAGTGAAAGGTGTCATAGCGGTGATAGATGTTCGTGATTTGGATTGCAATGTAGATAACATTATGAGGGAGTTTTTATTATACAGAATTAAGTACGAACAATCCCGAAAGTTTTTGTTTAGGCACCAGCGATGCGTGGATAAATTGAGAGAGCTTATCTCCAAAGCTGAACGCGGTCTGGTAATTGATGAAGCAGAGATACCTCCTGCTCCTCCATCATTCGCTCAGGCTGCTCCTGCTGCTCCTGCCGTGAGTATATATAAATTTGCTCAGTCTTACTGTTTCTATATTACAATTTTAGCAGCCTCCTCCCTCAGCTCCTTCGCTGCAGCCACCTCCAGTGCCAAAGCGCACCTCATCTGCATCAGATGTCCCTTCAGGATCAGGAATACAGCCGCCACCACCAATTCCTAAACGGGAGTCATCTTCATCTGTTCCACCTACACATACGGTCAGAAGGGTAGTTTTTATCTAACTGAAGTGATATATCTATAAACGTTGTAGGCTACTGCGGATGAGAAAAAGCAGAAGATTTTGACAGTGTTGAAAAGGCGAAGAAATGAATATGTGGCAAACGGAAAGGTGAATTTGTAAATATTTCATTATTTTAAAAAATAGCAAAAGTTTTGAGGCTGCTGTTGCTGCGATGGACAAACCAGCAGCCAAACATTATGTGGAAACCGCTAAACTGTTTGACCAGGTACTACTTTCACGCTATTGTCCTTTTTTGGTGTTTATAAATCGTAGATATTTATTTTTCTTAAAGGTTTTGCTTTTTTCCATGCTTAGCATTTGAAAGCAGTGTCCCAGCTAATTTCGTTTTCCATTTTTTTCACCTTTTCGGAGCCTCCTCGCCATGAGGAAACCTATATGTGGGCTTTTCAGCGCATGAAAATGGCGAAAATGACTTTTTCTGCAAGCTTTCTAGGTCCGCATTCGTTTGAAAATACGCGTAAGTGGGCGGAGTCCGAAACGAGGGCGGGGCGCTGAAGACTTCCGCCATATTTTCCTTGGATGCGGATCTGGAAAGCTTTGGAAAGGCTCATTTTTTGACATTTTCATGCGCGGAAAAGCCAGATATGGGTTAACTCATTGCGAGAAACCTCGAGCAGGTAAAAAAGAAAGCGAAGTTCTGCCGGAACACTGCCTTCAAGGCACCGAATCCTGTCATATCCTGCTTAGCATGTTTTCCATTTGAGGCGTTAGCTGCTCTCGATACTGCCGACCCCGACGAGCTTGACATGTCCGAAATTCCGCCGTCTCCACCTCCATATCGAAAGGAGGCTTCTGTATCTGCTGCTGTGACACAACCCAAACCAACCTCATTCTTGGGCGCATTGCAAAGTCGTATGCAACGTTTTCAAGAACTTGCACAGAGAGCAAAACAAGAGGGAAACGATAGGAAGGCTAGGTTTGCGCAGAAAACTGCATCACCCCCGAAACTTAAAGATCAAGTGTTACAGGATGAATATGAGAATGGTTGAACAGTATGCAGCGGCAATTCGTGATGCTAAAGCTGGACGACCAGTCGCCGTGGCTGAACTTCCACATACGCCTGATATGCCACCTCTGCCACCTCAAAGGCCCGCAATGGCTCCATCAGGGCCTGCTCCTGGAAGTAGGGTTTTTTGGAATCTTATTCATATTTATAATCCGGTTATAATTTCTAGTGCGTCCTCCGCCCGCTGTTGGACCTTTGGCCCCGACTGGTCAGCCAGGAAAATCGAGGAATTCTACTCAGCTAGAATTCCTCATACAACGGCAAAGCGAGTTTAGGCATGCTGCAATGCAAGCAAAAGCTAAGGGCAATATGGAGTTGGCGAAGAAGTATCTGCTGGAATCCAAGGTGCGTACATTTTAAGTGTTTGCAACTTTGTTATATATGGTCAACTCTGCTTTTTCTGTTAATACACACCGTATTTATCTTTAAAATGTTTTTATCTTCAAATTCTTGGCAAAGAAGTGGGTTTTATTCTAGGGCTTTGACAAAATGATTGCTGCTGCCAGAGCAGGTCTGCCAGTTTCAATAAGATCTACCCCAATCCCTCCACAGGAAACGACGTCACAGGCAACCCTTCAACCGAGAATTGTGTCAGCAGGATCAAGCAGCACAACGGGAATTGAAGGTCTGTTCAGAATCTGTGTTCATCTGAGGGTTATGTTTTGATTATTTGTCATTTTTTTCACCTACTTTTTTTATCACCTACTTTCATAGTTATGTAATATGCTTGCAATGGATGCGTTGTTTAGGACGAGGAGAAGCTCTTGCGTTGATGGAGAAAGCCTTAATCGAACAAGTGCAATTGGCTGAAAATAGCCGCATGCGTTTCACGAGGTTAGGAGATGTCGGAAAGGTAAGATACGCTTTTAAATGCATCGATTTGGTTTTATCTCAACATACCAGCTTTCTCTTACAAATACCGCAAGTAACCGTAGCTTGTTTCAATTTTTGCTTACCGAGACTTCCAAGAATAAAACCATTAGGATTTCAAGCCCATGAAGTTCGCGCGAGATCACTCTTTATTTGATGTGAGGGAGGTTTTTGATATCCGTATCCTAAAAGTATCGGAAACATGTTTACTAAATAGGATTACTATAGGATTACTATATGTGCATGACTGAATTATTTGATTTCTTTATTCAACGTTATTTAACAGGTGAAACTTTTCGAAGATTGGGCTAGATCAGCAAAACAGGATCTGCTACTCGTTCGTGAAGTAGCAAAGCAAGGACTGAGACTGCCACAGTATGACTTGTTTGAATATTTGCTTTCGTCGTTCGCAAGTCTTTTTTTT